AAAAAAAAAAAAAAAAAAAAAAAGATAAAACTATTTCGACAATATCGGCTCCGTATATTACACTTATATGGGTATGTAATTGAGGTTCGAAAAAAAAAAAGCAAAAAAAAAAAAAAAAAAAAAAGGTTCTATATTATATTGTGGTATAGTTACGAATATATTTTTCGTCTTTGCCGAAACACACACGCGCGCACACCCGAAACAAGAGTATAATACACTGCACCATACGATTTATTGACGGGGTTTTTTTTTTTTTTTTTTGATTCTGAGCGGAGCGAAATTTACAATAACGTTTGTTTTTTTTTTCTGCGAACGACTTTTCTACCAGCAATTTTCTCCGATTTACAACGACAGTAATTTTTCTAAAAGGAAATCGGACCGGACAGGTACTCCAGGGAGGTCATTTTTTTATTTGCCCGGGAGATTTCCCAACAAATGAGAAAACCGGGAAAAACATAGGAAACCCGAGAAAAACGTAGGGAAAACGGGAAAATAGGTACAATATTAAACAATTTTTGTTAAAAAAAAAACATATAATGCGTATGCATAATTATCCCCAGTATTTTTAAATTTTAATATGTGTTATTACGTTTAAATACTAAACAGAACATAATACAAACTAATAAGCAGGTATCGAGAATCGAGTATTAATTGTCGAATTCTAAATTTTTTTACTATCGTCCGTCTCCGGTCTTTAAACAAAAATGTTTCGAGCGTTAATCATACGCGCGTATGTGTATTAAAATTCGACCTGTAAGTTAACTGTAAAAATATACGATGACGAATGAAAAATACCTACTAGTCAATTAATTTTTAAGATAAGTCGACGCGTATTTTCGTTCGGATAAAACACCGTTCCAAAAATTTAATATTAAGCGGACACGGTTTTATTAAAGAAAATAATAATAATAATGAAAATAGACTCATTACATAAGACGAAACTACTACACAATATCCGCACGATAACCGTAGGTTTTAATGATAATAAAAAACACAAAATATTACGTAAATATCGCCAATCGATCATCGGAATAATCGGATCTATTAACTATCGTATATATTTTTATTTTTTTTTTTATCAGATTTTACAATAGTATGCATTACCTAACATGTAAACGACAGTCCGTCGGTGACGTGTTTGTTCATTTATAATATAATCGAATATTACGGTTTTAAAACACCGCGCAGTGAACAATATTATTATTATTATTGTTATTAAATCAATGGCTTGGGGCATGAATGGCCAATGACACTGCTGGTCAAACGGATTCGCAATTAGAATTTGCGAATGAAGTGCTATAAAAACGATTATTTATTAGGTAGGTTAGGTATATTGTGCGTGTATCCGTTCAAAACGTCTGTTAAAGTTGTCTCATTGTTTAGGCGAATTGCCCACAGATTAAAAGGGCGTCGTCCGATTGCGTCCCGTTTTGACTTTTTTAATCTTTCTCGAGTTTCGATCGCGTCCGGTTTTAACAGGTGTGCATCCGAATGCGTCCCGATCATAAAATTGAGAATTTTAATTGCGTCCGGTAGAATCCGATTGCGTCCCAAACGATCGATAATACAATCGAAATTTTCGATTTCGATGATATCCGGCATTCGGGCGTATCATTACTACTATTATTCTAACTCATATAATTAATATCATACTGCATGCGACATCTATAATACTTTTTAAATTGTAATAAATACATTTTAATTTACAGACAGACATCAGTTAGAACTAAAACACTTAGATCCCGAGTGGAGATATACATTAAATTCCCGTCAGTATCCTACCTTCCCAACTTCCCACCTACTACAGTGGTTGCATCCGTCCCCATTATCTTACCTTGGTTTTTTTTTATATATAAATAGTGTAACTGATTATGTACAGTTAAATATTCAACCTTTATAGCGTACAGATCAATAGTAAACGTGAATAGGCTTTTACAATATTGAATTTCGTTGAGTTTGAATCTTAAATTCATAAAAAGCAATTCAAATAGTTTGGACATCGATAAAAATACAAGATTGTCGTTTCCATTCGGGCCATTCGTGGTGGCATAAAATCCAAGTGTCAGGATTAACATCAGAGAACATAAATAAATCTAGTGAAGTAGGACAATTTTTGACTTATATTTTCGGATTGCCTATGATAAATCCTGATATGGTCGGGGAAGTTTATGCTAATGTTTTCATGGTTTTCCTCGTTGTCTCGAATGTTAATATGAATTTTAAACAAAAACGACCTCCCTAAAGTACCACCCAGAGAACATTTCCTTACGGAAAAGGTGCTGTACTTGATAACCGGAATAAGCTTTCTGGCGGAAAAAGCGCGTACATAAAAAAAAACGAAAACGCCGTTGTAAAACCAATCTAAAATCGCTCTTGAACGGCGGTAATAGTTTTCGTGTAGGTATTTTTTTTTTATGGATAGGCCGCTTTTTCGAATCCGAACGTCCGCGAAAATCCTACGGCGATTCCGATCCGACGGGCACGTGTCCGATTCGCGTCCGTATCGCCCGCGGAAGGACGCGAACAGAATAAAAAAAAAAAAAGGACGAAAAGTAAAACGACCACTAGAAAATCAAAAGTCCGAACGGGCCCGCGCGGTGCGCACGCTGATGCGAGCCGTCGCCCCGTAATCGACCGCCCGCCCGCGCGCCGGGATCGGTCCCGCCGGGCCGGCGCGGGTATGTTATAACGTTCCGTTAATCCGGCTCCGCGGGCCCGGCCCGATACATAATATTCGTGTTACAACACCGCGCGCCGCGTGCCGCGTCTACGTTATTACGAGTTACGGCCGTCCGGGGCCGGTGCACGCGGTCGGCACACGTAATAGGTATGCACTTTGCGCGAGCGCGGGACGGAAATACCTGCGCACACCCTCCCTGCGCGACCGCCATCACAGACCGCACGCGTACGACCGATGTCACAGTGGCGCACGCACGCGCGCGCGCGCGCACCCGCCGTCCGATCGATTATACCGTTACGCCGTCGTGTCCGGAGGACACGGTCGTCGCGGTATGTCCTTCAAGCGCAGCCGAACGAGAAGAAGAAGAACGAGAAGAAGGAAAAAAAAAAAAAAACAACCGATATAGGTCATTTGTGCGGCGGCCGCAGCCGCCGTTCCCCCCTCGGGAAACCGGTTGCGCGCGGCGCCCAACTTGAAAAACGGACGGTCCGGGCGCAGCTTACGGCGCGCGGCGCGGCTGTTGCGTGGCCGGTCGCATGGGTATTATAGCGCGCGTGCACAGCGCCGTGCTTGGACTTCGGTGCGTGTGCGTGTGACACACGCGAGCGCGCGTTCTCGGCGGCCACCGTGTCGGCGGCGGGGCGGCTGGAACGCGAGGTGGGAATAATTGCCGTGCCCGTTATAGTCGTCATCGCGGCGACTGCGGCTGCGGCGGCGGCGCGGGGGGAATTAGTGGGAGACCTTCGGTAATATGTACCGGGAAGGGGGCATAGGGGTACTTTTACCGTTACCGGGTCACTTGCTTTTTTCCGCTACTCCGCTGACCGCACAGAACGTTTGTGTGTGTGTGTGTGTGTGTGTGTGTGTGTGTGATTACGATGATAACGATGACGGGGACGACGACGGCGGTGATGATGACGGCGATGACGGCGACGACGACGATAATATTACGGGAGAGGAAGAAGAAAAAAAAAAAAACTAAATTAAGTGCATGTGGGCGTGTACCGTTATACGCGGTTACGTTAACTTGATAATATAATGCGTTTTATTATTATTATTATTATTACGGTCGTGCGGGAACCGCGGTGAAAAAGAGAAAGAGGAACGAACAAGCGAGATGAAGACGGGAAGAAGAAGAAGAAAGGTTTTTCTGTTATCGAATTTTCTACGACGCCATATCGTCAAGTGCGTTGCAACGAAAGATATTTCTCCGGCAACAGAATGTTGTTGTTTACGTTTTTTTTTTTCCTTTCCTTTCCTTTCCTTACCACCTCTCACTCTTTCTCTTTCTCTCTTTCTCTTTCTCCGACGGTATTTTTCGTTCGTCGCGTACAAATAATAATAACAACAATAACGTGTACTGTATTTACGGTTGTTCTTCCACCCCCCCACCCCTCCCGGGCTTTCCGTTATAATAGCGACGTGGGATCATTCCGCTAATATCGCAAATTTGAATCGTTTTTTTCTATTAAATGGAAACGTTTATCGCGATCGTTCCGAACGGAACAAACGACCACGGTCTCTCGTTGCGGACCGAACGCACTGTGCCGCACGAACGCGCGGTGAAAACGCGACGTTTAACTACCGACCGCTCGCGGAAACGGCCCGCGACGGGAAAACGGCGCGGGCCCGTTTTGCATTATGCACTTTCGCGCGGGCGTCGGCGTTACGCGATCGGATGATGAGGGGGGCTGGGTGGGTGCGGGGGATTTCTCGCGTCGCGGGGACTTTTCACCGGACGCCGTGTATAGGTCACACGTCGCCGCGCGGACGTTAAATAACTTTTCGGAACGACGCCGCCGCGGAATAACCGGTTTTCGGTTTTTCGTTTTTTTTTTCTCCTTCGCGTCGACTTGTCCGCGCGCCGGTCGTTTCGGACGCGCGCGGCCCCGAAATAAAAAAAAAAATAATAATAATAAAATAAAAACCAGAGGTCAAGGTCCGGGACGGACAAGAAGAAAAATCGAAAAGCCGCGCCGACACCGCCGGACGTGAAACAAAAGCTATAAACCCCCCCCCCCCCCGTGCCGCGTTCCGTCGCCCGATTGAGCTTGAAAAAAAATTACCACTCGGAGTAACGTGTGCGGCGCGGGCGCGCGCGTGTGCGTGCGGTAATACATATACATACATATATACATATATATATATATATATGTATATAATATATATATATATGTATACGTATATATAAATATATATCACTGTACCGTGCATTACGTTGCGCGCACACGTTCGACCTCAACCATCTGCGTGTTAAACTCCCCGGCGGCGGCGTTCGGCGATTCGATCCCGGAGCGTAATGGCGTGACACGTCATTCACCGCGAGACCGGGAACCGGCGGACCGCCGTTTCGGACCGTTTCGCAGACCGTGTGCGCGGTCCGGCTTTCGGTTTTTGGTTTTCCGGACGTGAACCTCGTTCGCGGATCCGCGAGATCGATGCGCGCGCGCCCGCACGCACGGAATAACGCCGCGCGCATTGCGCCGACTGCGTGGCCGCGGAAACGCTAAAAACGCGCGCTCCGTTGCACCGGTCGAATTGTTTTGCCGATATTTCGTCGGGTTTTCGAAATATTGCGGGGCGCCGCGGGTACGGCGAAAATCACGGCGATGATATCTCAACGAAAACGAAAAGAGACGGACACGCGCTGACGGGCGGGCCGCCGCAGTTGCGGGCCAGACGTGGGCAAGGCGGTGGGGAAATTTGACGTCATGTCAAACGTTCGGGTGCGAGACGATTACTTGTTGCTAACGAAAAGCGATTCTGAGCGGAGTCCGGTTAATACAGTACAGCGCGTGGCTTTGTCAACAAACACTGCGTGTGTGTCGCATTGTCGTAAAACAATTACACATTACATACGTTGTGTTATATTTTCTGTAATAATATTTGTTCAATATCGTATCGATTTTCCCCCTTCCCCCCCCCCCCGTCTAGTACGAAAACAGATAGGAAAATCGAAAAGACGACTTACCTACAGTACCGCAGAGATTTCCTATTAGAAAAAGTGTGTTATCGTTGCAGTAAATTGGAGCGAAATTGCTGGTAGAAAAGTTGTCCACAGAAAAAGAAAAAATGAACATCAATGTAAAACCGATACTTTCCTCGCTCCGCTCAGAGCTCAAAAACATAAAAACATCGTCGTATTTTAATTTTTGGACTAGTCAAAGTTAAAATATCGAAAATATATCGTAAAGTAAATAGACTTTACGACGAATTCAAAACCGTTTTCGGAATACTTGTCGTTTTCCTTATAGATTTTCGTCTCGTCGGGAAACAGATTTTCAATTTTCGAATATTTTTTATTTTTATGTAACGATAGTTGCGTTTATAATGTGACCCGATACCGTTTGATTTCTTTTTTTTTTTATCAATGCGTACGTATTTTATAGGTGTATCAATTTAGCATACGACAGTTAAAATCGAGAGTGAAATTTAAATTTTTATTTATTTATTAAGCTTTTATACATATAAAAAAAAAAAAAAACTATAAAATTAGATTTGTTGACCTTCAGTGTCTATTTCTATACTTTGTTATTTAACGATAATTGTTGTTCCTAAAGTAACTAAACTCTGTAAGAGTTTTTACCGCCACTGTAAAATAACATGTCACTTACCTCTTAACATGTTCCAGATCCTTTCATTTTGCTACACGGTGTACACGAGCGCATGCACGAGTGCTATGTACTCTCTCAGATCGTCTTCTACCGTTCTATTCCATTTGTCCGTATTTTTCCGGGCCTGCCGCTTGGCCTTTTACATTGACGACGGCATCCAATCGAAATGCCGTTCTTCGCGAGTCATTTTAATTTCGACGCGTAACACGATTCAGCCGTTGAATGCGCCGTGCAACTTTGATAAAACTACTGGCACCGGTCCGTAGATTCCTGCAGTCCCCCTGTCACACATCCTTCCCCGACGTTCTGTGTATGTATCTCTTCGGACTTTACAGACTTCACATCCGCGTACGGGGTTGAGGTGCGCGCCTTTTTATAGCCGCGCACAATACGCGCTACGGGACAACCGCACTGCGGAGTGAGCGGCACAGCCCTTTGAGACGACATTTCGGAACTTTGCAGACCCATATACAGTGCGGTGTACTCACATTTATTTCCAACCGTGTTATCGAAAATAACATCAATTTAGACCCGGCGTACTAGCCTATACGATAGCGTGTACCAGCGGGAATTTTCCACGAAAATCGTGAAATTTTTTCAAAAATATTTCTCACGTTATACACATATTTGGATCGCATTGAAACACAAAAAAAAAACGCTCGGTCTAACGGATTTCGCCGTGTACGGTGCGCGGAAAGCCGTCTCGGCTTTACGTACGCGCCGAGAACAAATTTCGTTTTCCTCGTGCGGTTGTACAGCGCGCGGCGGCGTAAATGCGATCGGTTCGTCGCGTAAACCGGACCGCGTTTTCCGCGGACGCAAATTTCGATTTTCGTGTTCGTCGCCAGTGCGTGGTAATCGCGCGTGTTTTTTTTTTTTTTATTGCGAATCGATTGTCACGCCGTCTGTCTCCCCGGCCCGGTCGACGACACGCGAGGCCGCGGGATTCCCGGAACGCTCTCTCTGGCCGCGGCAAAAGACCGTTTAATCAGCGGCGACAATTATTGTTCCCGGCACCCGGTGGCGACCAGAATCGCCGCCGGCCGACGGTGGCGCGGCGGCGCAGGGGTGTTGCGCGCGCGTATTTTTTCTACGGTTTTTTTTTCGTTCGTTCGTTCGTTCGTCTAATCGAAAAAGCGCACTCCGAACGCGGCTGTTTTTCGCGCGTCTTTTGTCTAATATCGTACGGGGGGTAGGGGAGGGTGGAGGGGCGGCGATAAACGCTATCGCGAGACGCGGCGAAACGTCTGCGCGCGGCGCGGCGCAGACGAGTTCGCAAACGCTATAATCACGCCGCGCAAAACGTCATCGCGTTATTGTAATATTGTTGTTGTTGTTGTTGTTACGACGACGACGCGCTGTTGCGGCGTGACCCAAAACAACAAGAGAGACACGACGAAACGAAACACAAAAAAAAAAATAATAAATATAATACCTCACACTGATTGTGCATACCCCAACGGCCGCCGTCCGTCCGTCGGCCGAGACTGGTTTTTTTTTTTTTTTTTCAAACCGATTAATTTTCGAGTGGAGTTTTTTTCTCTCTCTCTCTCTCTCTCTCTCTCTCTCTATCTCTCTATTATTTTATTATTATCAACAGACGCGCGAACGTCGATAATACACACGCGAGGTGCCCCGCTATCGGTATCCTCATTGTTCGGTTTTTAATGAACACTCTCGATGGTGCCGTCGGGCTTGTGTCGCAGATAACACGATCACTCTTGTTCGTCCGTAAACGCATACGTACAGCTACGGTATTGTGTACGAGACGACGAAAACGACGAGCGGTACACGATCAAGCCTCCCGTCAAGACGCAGTTCATAATTTCGTCTGTTCCGTTTCGTTTTTTTTCACCACCACCACCCCCCCCCCAAACAAACTACCGCGTACGTCATAATGTCGCGTTTGTGTGTCCGCGCGCGTTGCCACGGTAAGGGCCCGCGCGTTCGTCAGCGCGTACCGGATTCGAGATTCGCCTACTAAGGGGGCCGGGGGGCGGCCCGTACGCTTTCGGTCCGGAAATCGCAATTTTAACCGTTCACCCCGTACGGCGGTCGGGGGGCGGGCCCGTCGAGCGTGAAACACCCGCGGAAGTGGGCGCGGGTTGTTTCGCGCACCGTTTCACCGTAGTTCCGGAGCCGTGAGGGGTTTTTTTTTTTTTTTTTTTAAAAACCGCCCGAAAGCTTTTATCGTAACGATCGGAATAAATCATTAACAATTCAAAGGCGCACATAAATACTCGTGATGTATTTACGTACAGAAAAAAAAATAAACATGTGTGGAGGAATCTCACTCCCGGCGGAACGACCCCGGGTCGTAGCCTAAGAGCCTTATACTAAGTCATATGGCCTCCGACGTTTGTGACGCCTAATGTCTAGAGAGTTGCCTAGTAGTTGTGTCGCCGCTGGATTAGTGTGTTGATCCAGTCTTTTCTCGTGTTTGCGGACAAACTTGGTAATCCCGTCCCGGACGTTGGTGATCATCGTATCGCGGTGGATAGTGTCGTTTCTGTCATACCGGTACGTCGGAGCCGCGCGTCGATGGGATTATTGCTGTCACGGCGCTCTCGACTTCTACGCGGTTTTCCGAAATCGGTTATCGTTCGCAAGGCGGTTTCGAGTCTAAGGCAGGGCCGCCCCCCCCCCGCCCAAACGCCGCGTCCGCTGTACGCTGTACACCGAAAACCGCG